AACATATGTTTATAACTGTGACGTTTGCTTAACCAGCAAAAAAACGACACCAGGAGTTCTGTGCGTGGAGCTCATCTTTTTTCGTCGGGTCAGACGTTTAAATACGAACCACTTTTGTGTGAGATTTGGACACGGCGATCTCCATCTCCTCTGTGCCACTGTTGTCGCTCGGGGAGCCAAATTTGATCTCCATGGGCTCCTCGTCCTGCTGCTGACTCTTCAGGCTGTTTGCCACCGTCTGGATCGATCGCATCCATTCCTCCCTGACCCGGGAATGAAACACACACATCCCGACCCCCCCCTCGATTACATTCAGCCAGTGCCATTTATAGGATTGAGTAAAACAAACAGAAAAACATTGTGTTAAGATTTTCTTTTTCTTCAAATTGCTGTAACAGAATAGTGACTCGAAAGGAAAAAACAGCGAGTACAGTTCAGAAGGTGGAGGATAATCTGTACCGTTCCGCTGGGGAACGGTGGGATTTGGTACTTGGCAGAGGCAGTGTAAACAAAATTCAATGATGATTGCTTGGGTCAGAGTGAATAATCAGGTCAAATCTGGCAGTAAATTCTATTTTGAGCATGTCGGCCCGTCCTTCTGCTCCCACAAACTGGAGTGAGTTCCACTGGCTGGAGAGAACAATGGCCCATTTGGGCTTTTAGTGATTGAGTTGAAGAGAATGTTCTTTTCTATTTTCATTCAAAATTGACCAACTGGCAGGAGGAAAGAGAGATAACACGACTGCCATGTCATCACGTTTTTTTTTAAGCAAAAATAATCTTTTGTATGAGCTACAAATTACAACCAGGTGTTTCCTTTACCTTTCCTCGCTGCTGTCCACGTGAAAAGTGCGCTCGATAACCGAGGTCCACTGGAGGCAGCGGATGACGAACGTGTTGGGCCTGGGACGCTCCGTCTTCATCAACTGACACTCTACACAGGACAGACACGTCAGACAACAACGACAGCAGATACGAAAACTCTCCTGACACCGATCGAGTGGGCGACTGACCCGCGACAGAGAAATTGTTGAGTGGTGGAAGGCTGTGGTCGCTGGACACCTCAGGCTTCTCCTTGTAGCCAATGAAGGAGCCATCGCTCTTTAGGATGAAGTAACGAGGCCGCCAGGTTTTAATGTATTCACCTGGAGAAGACGGACAGAAGGCGGTGAAATGGAATTTTACCACCGAATCCCACAGTTTCGTGGACAGCGGACAGGACTCACCTCTCTTGTGGAGCCATCCCTCTCTCACGACACTCACTTCATTCATGCTGGGGCAGAGGACTGTCGGGGGCAGAAGAGGGCTGCAGACAAGCTGGGGGCAACTGTGCAAACTCTTCCTGTTGGTTTGATGTGTGACAATGGCTCAGCTGCAAAGACCTGTAGAATTAAAGAAGAGGGCGAGGAAATGACTGGATATAAAAGGGTTTTCATTCATTATATATATACTTATATACACATATATACATATATATACATATATACACATATATATATATATATCTCAAAATATATTATACAAATACCAAGGTACTTGTTGACATTCGCAGACAATGATTAATCCTGTCATTTGTTTATTTATATTTCTTGCCATTGTTGTGGCATTGACTTTTCTGAACATTCTTCTCCTTTTTGTTGATCATCAACACGTGTTTTTTTTTTTACCCCAATCCCAAAATAATTTCTTCTCTTCTTGCCATGTGTTTTGCCAAAACCGTCACCTCTAAGTTTTTCCTGTAAATGTACGTTTGTGTGAAGGAGTTAAGGTTCAGCATGTGTGAAAACCGCAGTGGTCTCGAAGAAAAGTGAAACCAAAGGCAGTGTTTACGTAAACAGAGTGAAACTGATTTCTTATCAAACAGAGAACTTTCTGGAAACTGCTTCTTCTTACTTCTCTCCCCACTGTTTACCGCATCACACTCGAATGAGCTCTGGAGCTACAGGCTCTCGGTTTACTTGAAAGACAACACCAAAACAAAAACAAAATAAAAACTGCTGAAATCCACACATCCAAGCTCAACCCTTATATCTGCCTATCTGATCCGACGGACAGCGACACCCAAACTGAGACCAGAACAACTAACACCAAAACAAGGTGGGCCGAATAAAAAAATCAAAAACAACAACTGTGGAACCAAACTGTGGAACCAAATAACCAAAACATTTCTGTGAACACTCATCAACCACGGCTTCTGCTGGTGGTGGGAGGAGAGAACTTGAAATTTATGGTCAGTCGTGAATGAACAGCTGATGTTAGATAACATGTTAGATAAGTATACTTCAATAACAGGGATGGAAATTATTATTTCTCAATATTTGCAGCAAAAAAAACCCCACAAGCTCTTGATGGATTAACAAAAAAATAAAAAAATGTTGTGGTCAATATGACTGTTTCTAGAAACCTAACTGTGCGATTCCGAACATCAACTTTTTAAATCACACCCCGCACCCTCTGCTATGTTTCACCAAGGAGGTGCTATGAATCATGGGGAGTTCCTTTCTTATGTGTCCACACAACACTTCCTCCTCAAAAACTTCAGGCTGTTTCATGTACTTTTTTTGCCAACTGTAACTGATCAATAATTAGGGATGTCAGATATTGTGTTTTTGCCGATATCTGACATGCCGATGTTGTCCAAACGCTTATTTTTCCGATTTGCTTGGCCACAATAACAAAACATCACTTTCACTTTCACTTCAAAATTATTATAAACTGGATAGATTTTCAGATTGAATCCCAATTAGAGATAACAAAATAGATCGTCCAATAGGAGCCTGGTTACAGGCAATTGTTTGTTGTGCGCCTAGCAACTGTAAAAAGAAGAACTATTTAGGAGAAATATTTGTCAACTTCCTATATAAATATTTGTAAATGTCACAAACAAAAGTTGACATCCTCATTTTTCACACAGTTTTTTTTTTATTCTTACAGCTCCTTCTGAAAACCATCAGGTCTCGCTCTTAAGCACATTTCCAACCATCTTAACCTTGTCTCTCGATCCTTATCGCTAAACTGCTCAACCTAAGCCGACCCTCTAATCTGCTAAATTCTAATCCCGTCCATCCTGGATGCTCATTACAAAAACATCTTAGTATTCTGAAGACACCTCCAGCTCAGCCCGTGTCGTACAGATAACGGTGCCAACTGTATCTAAACACAGGCATGTCACAGATCTCACTATTGTCCTGTCAAGAAACATTACTCCTTTACACAGTGACACTTTAACAATGGGCCCACATAGAAGTCCTAGAAGATGCTACAGATGAATGACGCCTTCACAGAACTTTACAAGATCCAAAGCTGCTTTATAAGAGAGTCAGGGACCGGACTACTGTAAACAAGTCCTGTCGTGATGAGGATGTCAATAGTACCAAACAGTACTACCTCCAGAGCTAGCTCAGTCTTGTGTCCCTGTATTAACAGCTAACCATTAATGTGGATTAATAACCTCAAACTTTACTAGAGTCCGTGGCAAAAGCACTAGGTTACCCGACGTGAGTGCAGCTCTGCGTGATTTGGTAAATATGTAATTACTAATAATCATAATGATAATAATGATTAACAACCATTGGATTTAATTTAGGTATTATTATTATTTAGGAGTATTATTATTGTCGTTGTTTTGGCGGCTTATAACGTGGATCTGTTTACAAACTAATACGATTAAAAATAAATATAAAATGAAATAAAACAACAACGCCAGGTCCAACACTTTCACATCCACATAGCCAAAGTTTTGCCCCTTTTGTGACGATGAGCAACTTTCCGTGAACGTCACACCACAGTTTACACACAGATACTGCTTGTTTTTTGGCATTTTAAAAATAAACCGTTGGCCGATTCTACGTTAATACAGTAGGTGTTAACTCACACACAGTCCCTAAGGCGACCACAATCCGCTTTGAAGTAAACAACATCACTACGACCTGACACATCCTCATCCTGTCACGGCGGCACAGAGCTAGCCGAGGCAAAGTGAACAAACGTCACGGTTTAAAGTTCAAAAACAATTAAACAATTAAACACAAAAACCAACCATTTATGTTTACGTTGTATGACAAGGCCAAGTGTCGTGGCAGACAGCAGCAGTAGGGAGAGAGAGAGAGAGAGACCACTGACCATCACCGCAATACGACTAAAGAAAAAAAAAAAAGGAAACAGCTAAGCTAACAGCCAGTTAGCACCTAGGGTTAGCTGTAGGAGCTGGTGCCGTTCTGTTCAGAACCTGTGTGTGGTCAGGTCCGGTACTTACCACAATATATCCAGTGACAATAACACAGCAGTCAGTCCGTTAGTCCCGGGAGAGGCTCCGAGGTCCGGCTTATCAGGCAAGCATGTGTGTATTGAGCACTGTCAATGATCACACACACACAGCTTGAGCGGACCGCTGTTCTGAGCTGAGCTTGTTTTCGTCTCACAGCAGCAGCAGCAACAGCAACAGCAGCGTGCAGTCTGTTGCTGCTGCAGTGACTCACTAAAGCATATGCAGCCCCACAATCACACACTCTCTCTCACACACACACACACACAAGGGCTAAGTCCGCTGAGCTCCAACTTAAGCTACTTATGTTGAGCAAAATCAAAATGAGAGATTTTTTTTCAAGTTTTAAAAATAAACTAAAAATGAAATTAAATTAAATAAAAAAAAAGCAGGAGCAGGTTATGACAGAAACAAGCCTCTCTGGGTGTTCAGGATGGACAGTCGCCTGCTCTGTCCCAACCAGACAAGCACAGAAAAACCCTCTTCTTTTTTTTTTTCCTCTGTATTTTTCTTCTTCATTAGTTGCTCAGATTGCGGCCATCTAGTTGCAATACTGCCATCTACTGAACGGTCCTGGTACAACAGCCGCGAGCGCATTAAAAACAAAGTGATTTAAATAATTCTGAACCAAAGGTGAACAATGATAAAAAAATAAAATAAACAACTATAACAATCTACAAAACATTTAACAGTAAAGTATATATACAAACAGATCCATCCAGTAAAAAAAACAAAACAATAAAATACACGTGTTTTATATATTAAATCGACATTTATTCTCTTTAGTCAAATAGTCAAACGTACTTGGAAAAAAAAGAGCTAGAAAATAAACATGGTTATAAAAAATGGAAATGTTTATTTTTGGCACAACAATTGCAGAAAAGTATGACATATATGTACAAAAAAACCTAAAATGTTTGATCACGGAGCTTTATTTTGTTTTCTTTGTTGCTTTCGTTCCAGGTAGCGTGCACGTGCGTCACTGATAGTGGCTTCGTTGTTGCGTTTCTCAAGCTTCTTCGTAATGTCCTCAGCAGGATCTGCAAGAAGAACAGACAGTGTTTTATCATCTGGTATATAAACCCTCTTTAATCTGATTTGTGTTTCAGGTTTTGTTTGAGACCTGCTTGTCTCTTGGCAGCTTCCTTGGCTTCCCACTTCTTCATCTCGTCTTCAGTGACTTCTTCTCTCGCCACACTGCTCAGTTCATACACGTTCACCTCGTGCAGTTTGGGCAACAAGTCTTTCACCCAGTCGTATCTGATTGGACACACAGTCCTGACATACACTCTAGAAGTCACCAGCACATCGTGGAAGATGATCCAGTTCAGCTCCCCCTCCTGGTCAAACAACTGAGGAAGACAACCAATCAGATTTTTTTATATTTATATTCCTCATGTTAGAAAATAAAACAAAAATAAATAAATGTCTGTACCGAAGATGATGGATGAATGTGAACCATGGATCCATTTCCATCCATTGTGCAAAACACTTTTCCTATAGACCTGTGGAATGGATATGAATCTCAAACAGGAAGTAAAAACCATCAACTGATTTAAAGATAAATGACATTAGTTCAACTTTCTGATACCTTCTGGCAACATTGGTAAAATATCCTGTGCACAAGCATCGTCTCAAGAGTTCACTCCTGTTACCATGAAATGTTTCAACAGGGAAATCTCTCTTCTGAGGAGGAAAGAAAAAGCGTCCATGGAAAAACAATGTAATTTTTTTAAATGTTATTGTTGGATTAAAAAAATAACAAACACCCAAGGAACACGCGACACACTACAGTGAGAAACTACCACGCTGCTGTACCTGTTTCAGGCGGAGGAGAATCTCTCGCAGCTGAGTCTCCACACTAAAGGCTGACTTCAGCGCCCTCCAGTGGATCCAGTTCTCTTTACACCATGAGGACGGCCTGTCGCTGACAAACACAAGAAAGAAAGTCTCAGCCAGCGCTTAATCTGTGAAGTTGGAGGTCCCAGAATGCAGAGAACAAGTTCTAACGACTATTATTATATTTTCTTCATTGTTACACGGATCAAACACTGGAGGTGCAGATCATGTTCCGGAAGGAAGAAAAAAAATATGAGTGGAGTACCTTGATTTGCAGGACTGAAAAACACTGAGAAGAGTGGCAAAGTCATTTAAACTGCCACTCTTGGCAGCAAGGGCTCTGTGTTGCTCATCGGCTTCCTTTTGCTTCTCGGGTTTGCCTGTAGGGGGCAACAAAGCCACGGGAACTCAGATCAGGAGGCAATGACTTGACATTGTATGACATTTCCATTGATTGGTTGTGAATTATAAATGGTTTAAAAACATGTTGTAATTGTTTTTTTATTCAGATGTCACATCGTTTCACCTTAGCCACTGACCTGGTCTGATGAAGATGTTTTCCACAGACAGCATGGCAGCAACAGGAAGCATCAAGTCCTCACAGCCGAGCGACGCAGCGTTGAGTAAGGCCCTGGTGAGGCCTGGCTGAAGTGGAAACTCAACCATCAACTGCCCCAGTGGGGTCACGTTACCTCTCCTAAAGTTTACACACCACAGTTGTTAGCTTCAAGCTAGGGATGTGCGATAATATCAGCTCGATATTAGCATCTACATATATTCCTAATATCTGTAGGAATCGTTATCGGTTTTTCCTCCGATAATGAAAACCCGATAAAGCAAAGTCAAATGATGTGTGCCCTAAAAATAGTTTGGGGCATAAACTTATGTATATGAAAGTGAAAGACACTAGATGGCAGTATTGCAGCTCATGTTATTAATCTATTTTAATCTTAGTGGTTTGTACAGATAAATAAATAAATATTACCAGGACTATATCGTTGATATCAGAATCAATATCGGGATATCGAATATTGGCAAAAAAGTTCATATCGGACCCACTCACCTGTCTATGGCGTCAAACTGATACAGCTGTTTTAGTGCTTCTAAAATAAACCTCTCCTCTGGACGGTCCAGGTATGGAAACCTTTAAAGACAAAATGATGAGCATCAAGATAATAACTTAGACTTAAAACATGCAGTCACAACGGAGTGGTAGTTTACCTGATGACATCATGCACTCCCAGACACTTCAGTGTGAGAATGACTGAAGTCAGACTTGTCCTCTGGATTTCTGGAACCGTATATTCAGGCATGCTCTTCTCCCAAAACGCCTCGTTATAGATACGAAAGCACTTCCCGGCCGAGGTCCTTCCGGCTCGACCTGCTCTCTGCTGAGCCTCGCTCCTGATCACACGACAACAGAACAGAACTGCAAAACTAATCTACATAAAAAACAAACTGAAATTACATTTAATACCGTCCATTACTCACTTTGATATCGGAACCACCTCCAGGATGTCCATGCCCACTCTAGAGTTGTGGTTGAGTTGCTTCACAAACCCACTGTCAATGATGTACCTGGATGAAGAAAAAGGTTGAAGAGTGAAATTATGTCGTGAGGTTTTTCAAAACCTGAAAAGGTGAATTATGGCGCCACTTACTTTATGCCATTAATGGTAAGAGACGTTGCTGCGATGTTGGTGGCCACTACGCACTTTCTTATTCCTGGAGGCGGTGACTGGAAGATCTGCTTCTGCTGATCTGTGGCGGCGCAATGACATAAGGTGGCGCTGATCACAAGAAGGAAGTCGCAATAATACATTTTTAAAACAGTTTTATTTTTTTTACCGGTCGGCATGGATCCATAAAGAGGCAAAATTAGGAGACCGTCAACTGTCTGGTCCTGAACATCGTAGCGATAGTCAATGGTCTCAGCTTTTTCAAAGAGCAGATCACAGGCTCGCTCGATCTCCAATTGTCCTGTTGTGACATCGAGACTTTAGCAACTGAATGTGTTTGTGTTTGACGATGTTATTCTAGAATTTTAAAAAAACTCACCGGTCAGAAAAACAAGAATATCCCCAGCTCTTTCACTGGTGTGTACATCAAAGGCCATTTTCACCACCTGTGAAACAAAAACCCTTAAAGTCCAACCCATTTAAAATGTGTTTCTTTTTTTATTTAAAATATATAAATCAGACTGTACCTCCTTCACATAACCTGTGCTGTCCACATCTTTGGGTCCGACAGCAAAACCAAATGTACAGTCCACAGGATACGTCCTCCCAGGAATAGAAAAGACTGGACAGTTGCCAAGAAATGCCGAGAGTTTGTCGGATTCTAACGTGGCGGACATAACCACCACCTTCAGTGGGAAGGAGCGGCCTTTCTCTGGGTTGGACAAGATTTTCTTCTTCAACAAACCCAGGAGAATGTCCTGTGGCAAACACAGACACACAGTGAAAGCGTCTGTTGTCACCTTATTCACACCTCTCGACCTTACGTTGACTTACTGTGTTGAGGCTGCGTTCGTGGACTTCATCCAGGACCACAATGCTGTACTGAGAAAGACTGGAGTCCGCCAGGACCTCTCTGAGCAAACAGCCGTCCGTCATGTACTTCACCACCGTGTCCTGGGTCGGTACAAATGTTCACCACCAGTATTATCAGATACTCACGTCAGAAACGCAGTTGTTTTGTGGCAACGCTGTTACCTGTCGACACTCACCTGTGATGTGTAGTCGTCAAAGCGGACTTGGTAGCCAACTTCTTTGCCCAGGGTGCAGTGCATCTCCTGTGCGACCCGCTGGGCCACAGTAATGGCTGCCACCCTACGTGGCTGTGTGATGGCAATGGCGCCATTTTTACAAAAACCTACAAAAGAGAAGTAGAAGGTGATGTTGATAAAGAACGAAGTATTTTTTAGGGGCGGGGCTACCGCTGCTGTTTGTAAGTTCAACCAATCAACAGTCACATCCACAGCTATTGTCAACTTCAGTTGCTTTGCAGTGCCGAGAGAAAACATGCGAACTACACACTCAAAGACCACCGGGAATCAAACCGGTGACCACTTTGTCTCGTTAGGAGATCATTGTACAAGCTAGTACTTAGTACTCGTACTTAGTAACTAAGGCAAATTATCGCAATATTATGTGTTTTCATTGACCATACTACATTTTCAACATATAGATAAAAATTAAACTAATTTTGATAGTCCTTCCAGTTCAAAACTCCAAAAACAGATACGGCGTCACGCGTGTTTTCTTGTCTAATACGGTGTTTTAGTTCATCTTAATTGAACAGGGCAGTCACTGTAAACTTCAGCCTACCAGCGTGGTGCAGGTACTGGGGCAGTTGTGTGGTTTTGCCGCTGCCGGTTTCCCCGGTGACCAGCAGAAAAGAGTTCTCTCTCACAGCATCCACAAGTTTACTTCTATGTCGGTATATTGGAAGCTCTTTCGACTCGGAGTCCGCGGATTCCCTTCTCCTTGATTTGGACATTATTCAACGTGAGGCGATAAAGACGCGACGAATCAAACTTAAACACTTTTTAAATACCAGTTAACTTTAAGTATAAATGATGTGTGGAGAGTAAAATAAACGGACGACACATTTGCGTTAGAAAAAACTGTACTTCCGTAAACTGCCTCCCTATGCATTTCTATTGGTTGAAACGTGAGCATGTGACCTAAGCTTCCCTTTCACAATAAAAGCTTCATCTTTTTTGTTGTATTGCCAAAGTCTCATCATTCCTTTCACAATAAAAGCTTAGTTCATCTATTTTGTTGTATTGCCAAAGTCTCATCATATCGATAAAAATCAATTGAATTAAAACATTTTTTTGTACAAAAGGAAATAAATAATTTTTTTGCACCACATAACTGACTCTACTTAGTTGAAAATGTTCTTTTAAGAGTCGAGATATTTCACTCAAACAATTATTTCAAGGTGGATTTGTTTGTTGTCTGACAAGGTCTTTAAAAATAAAACAACATATGATATTCCATGTTTTTAAATTTAATACCCAAGTGCGAAAATTATGCAGAAATATATTTATATTAAAACCACATCTTGAACAATTTTTAGTGGTTTTGTTTTATTGATATTTCCAATTTACAACACTTGGATTTTATTGATAGATTTTTCCTTTTCATTGTCATTGTTCCCTCCATGTTCTTCCATGTTTTCTTTTTAAATAAAGAGGGCCACCAAAAACGACTCCCCTAGACAGCATCCATCTTGTTCCTGGTGGGATTCTTTTTGTTTTATGTCCACCTTTAAAAAGCAAATGTTAAGCAAGTATTCAATAAATGATTATTACCTGATAAATAAGCAAATAGTGACAGAATTGAGATGAGAAGGTTAGTTCACAACAAACCATTATTGCAGGAATGGAAGCAGTCTGGTTTTTTACAGGTTACAACATCACAGTGGAAATAAACCTTCAGGACAAAAATAAATAATAAAAATAACAGTATCTTAAAACATTTCAGGAACGGTTTAAAAAATTAAAAGTGAACTAATAAAAGATGCAACAAATGTCTTTCTTACCTGGTTTTCAGATGCTGAGGAATTTACAAATGAGAACATCTGGACTATGAACCGTTTGTGAAGGGAAGGGAACGTCAGCTCTTTATTAGGAACCACAGGCAAAACAACAGTCGTGTGGCTGTCAGCAGTGAAAGGACACCTGGAAATATCCAAAAGGCAGAAGACAACTTTAAGATTAATTTTCTTTTTACCACTCGGTACGTCTCAAAAGTCTGAAACATAATGACCCTTTCTTCAGAAGACTCCATCGCTGCAGGTCGTCAGGGTTTCTGGTTCTTGTGGCCCAGCAGTCATCCAGCAGTAGAACCAAGTCCTTGTCCTTATGTTTGACCACAAAGACCTCCACATACACAGGCTGACCGAGCTCAATGACCGTGTGCGACTGGTGTGATGAGTAGAAAGAGCTGTACGAAGAATCTACCAATAAAAAGATTGA